TTTTTTTAATGTGCTTTGCATGATTTGCCACTGGGGAAGAGAACTACAATGTGGAAAGATAGGTCCTAAATTCTCTCTTTTTCTTCTTTGTACAAGCAGCTACCCCGTGCATAAAAGCCATCAGTCCCAGCGAAGGATGGACCACTGGAGGAGCCACAGTCATCATAATTGGAGATAACTTCTTTGATGGCTTGCAAGTTGTATTTGGGACAATGCTGGTGTGGAGTGAGGTAGCTTTTCAATTAGCTTTTTTTATAAACATGAAAGATTTTAAGAAGCTGCTAATGGTTAATTGGCACATGGAATCATCAAAAGTAATATATAACATGTTTTTTTCAACATTAGATAACAGAGGAATAAATACGTATATAAGCAAGCCTGTTTTACAAACACTAAATAGACACCCAGGCCCTCTAGTGGATTGGAGAAGCAGGAGGTCTTTCAATACAATTGAACAATTAGTGCTGAAATATTACTAGAAAAAGATGCAGGGAGACATATGGAGACAATTTTCATGTGAACGATGCCCTCTGGCCTTTCCTGCAAAAACGAAAGCCAAGGATCATTTACAGATATTTTCTTTAAAACTGTAGAACCTTGAGCCTGTACACATGAGGAGAGCCTTTTTAGATGACTGCCTAATTTAGATTCATTTTCGTAATTAAGTCCAACTGGCAAGCATCAGTCCTATCGACTGCCATCTTGGTGCTCACTGTTTACTGTATGATTTTTCTAGCTGATAACTCCTCATGCCATCAGAGTTCAGACCCCACCACGGCACATTCCTGGAGTGGTTGAAGTCACTCTCTCGTACAAATCCAAGCAGTTCTGCAAAGGAGCTCCGGGACGATTTGTCTACACTGGTAAGAATCTTTTTTTTTTTTGCCGCTTTCTTTCGATCCATGGTCTGTCCAGTCCAGTTGCTGGATGCTAGTTGCAGCCCACCCAGCTTCAACAATGGGATAGGCCAGCTCTCAGAGCTGTAAAATGTGTGAAAGCTCCTCAGAAGGTGCACCAGGGGGGTTCACACATTGCAATTCTATCCCTTTTCCCGGTTTTGCCTTTCAGAGGGGGGCTGCCAACTCCTGTTAAACTCAGTGCATTACAAGCACTCATGTGATCAGTCTCACTTTTTACTCTAATGACCCAGCGAAGAATCTTTGTAGCTGCTGGTAGGGAATTAAAAGAAAACAACTATTGTTATTATAACAACAGTGTGTAGTTTTGGTCAGAAATCAATATTGGTGTGTCTGTCTGTGTGTCCAGCTACTCATTTAATACAAGAATAACATCAAAAAAGAAAGTTGGGGATTAGAAGGAAGTGGGAGCTTATCTACCGATCAGGAAGGAGGGGGTGGGACGCTGGGGGTCATAACCCGTCTGACCTGGAAGCTTCTGTCTGATCTGAAATTGACAAGGACAATGAGATAATTATTGGAAATTACTTTCACTCCTTGAAAACTGAGCCCAGGCCCCACTGTAGCCCTCAATATGAAAATGATGTGATCCCATGGAAGGGGAGGGCCTGAATCCCCTGGGCAGCTGTTTCCTATCAAAGCCCCACCAAGCTTGTAGTCTAGCATGGCACTCTAACATTTAACCTTCCCAGCATGAGGGGATCATAGGGCAACTAGGCTCCAGGATAATGAAACAAGAGTGTAGTGTGGTGTGTAAAGCCTGTTGAAGGTATATAAGTTAAGACATTAATGGCTTATATACAGCCCTATAAAAGTGCCAGATCTCAAAGAATGGGCCCCATTAGTCACACATACTAAGCGGATTGTGATGATTCTCATCAGACTAAGGGAAAATGTATCCCCCATATATCCATGTTGTTTTTTCCCTGCTCCTTCCAGCCAATATAAAAATACAATTACCTTGGGAGATTGTGGCAGTTCAGTTGATTAGCACGGTGAATTAAAAGAATGAGTCACAAATGACATGTCCAGCTCTTCTCCTCGAGTCCTCTGTATTCCCAGTGTGCCTCACCCCTGTTGTAAGAAGGTCAAAATTAGAGAGAGCTAACAGTTTTCAAGCAGCTAGCACTTAGTAGCAGAATTAACAATCACTCTATATGTAATTGCCAGTTAATAGTAAATTGCCTCCTGGACTGTAAAATACAATATGAACTGGTGGATGGTTAAAATTAAATTAATGAGAAGTTTTTTTTTCTGTATTTAAGATTGAGTGTGCAAATTGATAAGCAGCAAAGCAATAATTATTGTCTTATTGCATGAATATAATTTCTTAATATTTCTTCATTGTTAATTGTTCAGATCTGCTATTTGTGCTTTAAAAAAAGCTTTTAAAATATTCTAAATAGACCTTTTTTAATAAAGAAAAACCAAAGCAGCCATAAAGAATATTCTAATTATGTTTAAACACTAATATGTTCTATTGATTAAAACAAATTACAAATTTTACACTTGTAATTATAATTAGTTCATAAACAATTTCTTTGAACTTGAAATGGAAAAAAGGTCTCTGTAGTTTTGGCATA